TTTAACATCCAAGCACTATATTTCTGCTGAAGCATAGCACCTTATTCTTCTGAGTTCTTGATAAGTAAGTATATATGCAGAATCTTTATATTTCAAAATGTTTTTGTCTAGTAGTTGGTATATAAAAGTAACATTTATAATATATTTGCTTGTTCTGAAACCTAACATAAAAAATATGCCTGCCAACTCCCTAAACAGCGTTATAGTTGCGCATTACTAAAACTGTTGAAGCTACCTGTGTTCAGATGCTTTATACAATAATAAATGATATATCAATGAAATAAATCTGCATATGGCAGCATTTCTAACCAGTGTCCTAAAATTTTACTTTGGGTCACTTAAACAATGTGATAAAATTTGTTGTGTTTCTCTGTATAATATTAGTAGCTCACTTTGAAATGACTGTTTAACTTAAATCCAAAAATCAAGATTAATAGGTTAGAAATGGAAAGAAATCTAGGAAATCCTCTAGCTGAATGTTGTAGGTCCAAATTATATTATAATCCAGTAAACAACTTACAATCCACCATGGACCACAATAATGTGACAAAGAAGGCTAGGTGAATGTGAAAGAGGAGTCCAGTCAAAACCACTGACAATAAAGAAGTAAGAAAAAGTTTCAGATGTATTGCAGTAACGTCATTGTATGGAACATCAGATCAGTGATTCAAAAAGCGATTGAATCAGTATCATTTAACTAAAGTTGGAAACCGAATTGCAGAGAAGTTAACTAACTTATCCAAGATCACACAGCTCAATAGTACCAGACCAATTATAGGAAAAATGTGTATTGAACACCTATTATATGCAAGACACTGGAATAAGTGTTGTGAAGGGAGTGCATTTGTATAAGGCAGGGAGGTTACCATCTATTTTATTGCTAAGAGATGATGTATGTAGATATAAGGATGTGTATATATGTCCTTGTGCATAATATGTATGTATGTGTTTGTGTGTTTTGTCTTTTAGGACAGAAAGATATAGGAATGGGTTGAGGCCAAAGGGTAAAGGGTATGCAAAAGTAAAGAATTTGGACTTTATCCTCTCTGAAATAGGGAACCCCTGAAGAATTTTAGGCAGGAAAATTAAACAAATAAATTTGTATATTAGAATAACTGTAGCAGTGTGGATGATGATCTAGAGAGACAGCATGCACAGAAGCAGGGAAACCAGTTAGGAAGTTATACTAATGGTTCCAGTGAGCACAGATGAAAAAGTCTTTCCTAAGCAGTTGCTGTGAGGCTTGATCAATATACATTAATTAAAATATGCATAATAGAAAGATACAAGCGTTAACCCATTTTTTTTTTAAATATTCACACCTGACAGTGACTCTCAAGTATCTTCAGACACCTCATTTCTCCTTACCTGCTTCTCATTAGATAGATGAAATGTACCTAAAGAAGTGTCAGACCAAAGAACATTAGAGTCAAGGACAGAGATGAAAACTGGCCCTGGGCTTCAGAGATTCAACTGACCCACATGCTATAGAAGATACCGTGTGAACTGAAGCATGTGTATTGAAAATCATTCACCTGCCTTCTCCTTGCTGGCTGAGATGAACCCCATTAGCATCAAAAGGACAATTCAGGGTGAACTTGGAAAAGAGGAATTGCCTTTTATCCTTACAAATAAGTAAAGTGAACCCTTAATGCCTCACTCTGCACGATTATATTGGTATTCTGGATTTTGAATGAAAAAGTGCACTCAGTAGCAGAGAGGAGTAGGGATTAAGGGTCATAGGTACCTTTGAGTTAGATTTGAAAGGCTCAGTCAGGCATGACAGGCTACATAAACACAAAGCATGGGCAGTTAAACCTATAGTTTGGCTCTCAGCTCTGTTGCTTGTTATGATAAAACTTTGAAACTTTTTTTCTTCATTGAAAACATAGGCATAATTAAAACAAATTTATTCACTTGTTGTAAAGGTAAAACAACAGTGTTTGTGAATGTGTTCACCAAAGTGTGAAAGACAGGTGATAACTGAAAAAGACCACAACAAAAAAGTAAACAAGGTAAAGTTGGTTTTAAGATCAGTAACTCTGAAGGTAAGGCCATCTGGGTTTCAATCCAGACTGAAGCACTTACTGGATTTGAGTCCTCCAGCAAGTAGCATCAATAAACCTCAGTTTCCTTCATCCATAAAATGAAGATACAAATAATACCTGATAGAGTTTATGTATGTGTCATAAATAGTAAACTTTCAATATTAATTACTATTACTGTATTATGATTTTTTTTTCTTTTTCCCTATTCAAGAAAAGATGTTGCACATTTTATAAGTATGATGTTTTTGGTTCATCAGCACATTTTTGTGACTCCTTAATTAATCTTGGAATCTTTGAGTCAAATGGGAATTTATAAAACATTCAATCAGATTTCCCACATTTTTGGGATCCAGCCAAGCATGAACACTTCTAAGGACGAGAGCTCCTTCCCTCCATTGGCCTCTTGATCTACCATATGTCCATCCTGATAGGAACCATATGACCCCTCTAATAGGACAGGCTTTCTTTCATTAAAAAAAAAAAATCACTTTCCTATATCTTCCTCCTTAAAGCCAAATTCATTTTCTAAATAATCCAAAGAAATATACTTTCCTAGAGAATATCTATTCATGTATTTGATATCCATTTTGGTTTTCCCTACCTGGAGAAATTCTCTACATCTTTGATCGCAGCCTAGTCATTAGCTCATAAGCACACTTTTGACCACAATAACAATTTTATTTTCCTTTATAAACTGTTACTAAGTTGTAGTGACTTTAAACCACTGCAATTGATTTCCTGTTACTAATTTCAGGACTTTATGTATATTTCCCATGAGTTTTTACCATGAAAGGTTTAGCTCATTGTTTATAGTGTACTGCTCACTTGATGTAAGTGTGTTTAAAAAAAAAAAAAGAGGGGTGCTTGGGTGGCTCGGGGTTGAGAGTCTGACTCTTGATTTCTGTTCAGGTCATGGTCCCAGGGTCATGGGATCAAACCCCACATTGGGCTCTGTGCTGAGACTAGAGCCTACTTGGGATTCATTCTCTCTCTCTCTCTCTCTCTCTCTCTCTCTCTCTCTCTCTCTCCCTTCCTCCCTCCTTCCCACCCTTCTCTTCTCACTCACGCTTGCTCTCTCTCTCCCTCTCTAAATATATAGATATAGGGTGTGTATATATGCATGTGTGTATATATATATATGTTACACACATGTATGTGTGTGTATATATATGCACACACACATATAATTATGTATAATTATATATAAATATAAGTATATATAAATATAAAATTATAAATATAAATTTTAAATATATATATATATAAATTTTGAATGTACTGAAACACATTTATATCCATTAAACAGGTTTTCTAAGATTTCTGCAAGAACATCTCGATTATTTTTAAAGGGGAGTTAACACAAAATGTTATTTTTTTAATTTGAAGTTTGAGTCCTGTGCTACATTTAGGTGCTTTATAACTACTGTGGACCCAGAGAAGCCAGAGTTCATTCCTGTTTACAACTTGGGATCAGCCTCACTTCTCACCGTCTCAGAATTTCCCAGTTACACTGGAGGGAGAGTGCTGGAAATTTTTATCTCTCTAATTTGTTTTCAAGTTGCTCATTTTTCTTCTTTTTTTTAAATTAAAGTATAGTTGACACACAATGTTATATTAGTTTTTTTATGTTGCTTATTTTTCTTGATAGCATTTGCCAACATATTAACCTGTGAAACTGCTACTTATTTTTCAAAACAGTATTTACATATTACTTCTCCAAGAAGCCTACAGAAATCTCCCCAAGGGAATCGTTGCTCCCTGACTATTCTCTCCCAGACTGCCATTTGTCACTTCCCCATGAATTGCTTGATTGCAAGTAACTGGAACTCTCTGTTTAATAAGATAGGCAGAGAGGAAATGTATTGATTCACAAAACCTAAAGAGGGTCAAAAAATAAAATCATGTGAAGAACAAGAGGACAACTCAAGTTCTAGAAGATCCAGTTCCTGACTCCAAGACTCTCTCCTCATGACTTGTCTTGCTTTCCTTTGTTAGCTTTCTACTCTTAGTTCAAACTGGTTTTCTTCACAAATTGAGAAATATAGCTCTTAATAGCAATCCAAGCTTTAAAGCTTTTACTATCTGCCACTGGAAGGGGAGAAGAATAACTCTCTTCATCAGAACCAGTTGAAAAATCTCAAGGGAGTACTATGACTTGACCACCACTGGACTCATCAATTGTGTGGCCAGAGGGGCAAAAATACTATGATTAGCTTGGCTTTGGTATAGTTACCATTACTGGACCAGTTTACAATGGGTAGGGAATCAGCTACCCATCATATGGCAGCCTTAAATGAAGATAATGAAGGCACAGTTTTCAGGGTAGGAAAATAGGAAGGTAGTGCCAAGTATCCCAAAGATGTTTATTTTTTTCTATTTATTTGTAGCTGTTTTTATAACTAGATGGTGAGATTCTTGAAGGCAATGACTATGTCTTAAGATAGTGACCATTTCTCCTTATTTTCTATGAATTGCAAAATGCATTAGGTTTGGAATATATATATATATATATTTTAAGTGATGTATATGTAACACTTAAAATATATATACATATATATTTCTTTAAAAATGAAAAAATATATAGGTATCTTTAAAAAATAACACTTGTGTTTGGTAATACTTAACATGCATACCTTGTGTTAAGTAATATATACTCCCATCATTAGTATAGTCTTTGTGGTGTTTGCAGCTTTTGGCAGATAGTCTTCATAGTTAAATCTGGAAACTAAAATATAAGCTAAATATTTTAAGAAATCAGTTCATGAGTGAAGACTGAAATAATATTTAGATATATGGCCAATTTAATAATATGCATTTGTCTCTATAGAAAGCCTTAAATTTAATTCATCAGGCTTTTAGTTCCAGTTACAAAGTGATGGGAAGAATCTTTTCCAGATTATATTAATATTTTCAAAGATTCTTGGTGGCTAGTTGAATAGACTGATTTGCCTTTCAAAACAATTTGCACCCATCTGTTTCTAATACTTTGTCTCCTTTACGTTCATTCATGGCCAGGTGACATTTCTGAAGGCTTGAATTCTTTTTCTTTTGGATTGGCTTCCTGCAAGAAGGTGCACACTCAGAAAGACTACTCCTTTGCCTTATATCATTCAGATCCCTCACTTCACTGACTTCCTTTGTGGTTCTTATATCTGGACACTGGCATTTGTTTTTTCTGTGTGTAACTGCTCTAGTTTTGCCAGCTCTAGGAAATGCAGTTTTTTGCTTCATCTCTTGTTTACTTGGAGACCTGTGTTTCTCAGTCTGTAGGTATATGAAACTGTTACAGGGGCTTTCAGCTTCAGAAGTACTCTCACATTTAGAAGAACACTTGGGTCTCTTCCCAGCAGTTGAAGGAAATTTCACATGTTGAACTGTGGTTGAAGATGCTCTCCCATAGTTTGATTCATAACTATGCACATTCTTCACTTTTGAGCACACACAGCATATATTTTGAGTGAAGCATTCACTTCTGTTACTTCCTTTCAGAGAGGGATTACTTGATTCTCTGCTTAAAGATCTCTTTGTAAGCCCAACACACCAAGATTTGGATCTGTGAGTATTGGACTGTGATTGTCTTTGGACTCTTCTACTGAAATGTGAACCAGCTTCTGTAAATTGGGAGGACTGTTTGCCCTTCAACCTCTTCTTTTTGAAAGATCTCAGCTTCCTACTATTTCTCTTAGAAGAAAGGGCAGTTTCTGAAATGCAACTCCAAGAGGGGTCCCTCTTTCTGGATTTGTAACTTAACAAGGATCTTTCTCTCGGCAATCTTCTTTGAAAAATCTTTGGTGGTGAATCTGAGTGTTTATTCTTTTCTGCTGCTTTTTCCTGGAAATTGATCTGCTGGTCCGGGCTCAAAATCCTTCCTTCTTTTAGACTGCACTGACATGACTGCCCCTGATTAAAAATTTCCAGGGAACTGAAGGTATGTGCAGTTGTGTCACTCTTTCCCAGATCCTGGACATTACCAGAAAGCAACTTTATCCCTTCCATTTTCCTCTCTTGAACTTTTTTTTTGCAATCCAGTAAGCCTGGGCCCCTTTCCCTTGGTGTAGGGCAATCCAAGATTATATTGTTAGTAGAAGTTGTACCTTTGTGATCACCTGATTCTGGTTTGTCTTCAACCCAAGCATGGATTTTGCTTGCTGTTTTTTGATGGAGTAGTGGGATTTCCGATTTCTTCAAGGAAGAGTTACCATTTGGAAACTGTCTCAAGCCTGACAGAGGCTTCTGCTCATTATTCCATTGGCCCCGGGTGTTTCTATGTTGAGATGCCAGTAGAGCCTGATCCTTAGACAAAGGCAAAACAGAAGCTGATGCTATGGACTTCTTATTTACCCTTGGTGAAACAGAAGGACATTGATAGATGGCTCGTTGGTCATAGGTCTCCATGTTATAAGGTGAATGAACAAAACTGATAAACTCATGCAGGAAATGGTGGGTGTGTTGTTGTAGATAAGGTTCCAGGAGATGAATGAAAGACTCACTGTCCAGATCATATTCTGTCATGTGTTGGAGAATGGTGGCTAGAATATTCTTCACTGTATAGCCATAGTCTCCATAAACAGCTGTTAATTCCCGTTTCAGCCAGGGGACCAGTCGGTGTAGACAACCAGGGTTTCTCTTGAAATAATTAGCTGATAAGTGCTTTCCAAGTCTGTGGCCTTGGACATGTGTCACCCAAATTCCAGAATAATACAAAGCTCTTCTGAACTTCATTACCACTTGATCTCTAAAGTGGCCTACGGACATGGAGTTTGGCTGGAACTTCCCGCTATCCCCAAACTCCCTCAGTAATTCTTGGACAGTCAATTCTCTGAATGGTCTGATTTTCCTTGTAATGCCCTCAGGGTTCAGACCGAGATGATTGCTTTGAGAAGACTCCACATAGCTTTCCTCCTCCGAGGGAAGAAACCCTGAGTCTTTGGTGTCATTCTCTGGCCTGGTGGAACAACACTGAGAAGCAAAGCAATGCACACCAGAACAAAACACGGATTTTTTTCTTGATCTTGAGTAAAAAGAGTCATTACTACTCTTGCTGAAACAGGGATTCCAATCAGACTCATTCTGAGTACTCTCCAAGCAGTTAGGATAATCACAGTCAGATGAGAAATCAAATGGCATTGTCCTGAAAAGATTATATTTCAGTTGTATATGAGAAAAATTGGTTCAAATCAGTTCCTCATTTGGCATGAAAAATGCCTATTAAAAATATTTCTGTAATATGGTTTGTCTCTCCATGGAATAAATTCTAGAACAAGGTTAAGAAACAAACTATTCCTTGAAATTAGTAATAATATGCTCAATAAAACCCAACATGGAAAGGCAATGAGGATTAAGGCACACTGACTTTTTCTTTCTCACTCAAATTGTTGCATGCTGAAAAGCAAGTTGGAAATAAATATCAAAATTTAAGTATTATATTTTTTAATGGCAATTATAACTAGAGATTTAATCTAGATATACAATCTGCAAATATATACATGTTGACCAATAACAAAAACTAAAAATAACAAATATCCATTAATAGGAAAGTTGTTAAATAAATACTGTTTTATTCATAGTATTATGTAGCCATTTAAAAAAGTTAAACTCATAAGTACTAATATGAGAATACGGCTGAATCTATTGTTAAATGAAAATGTTTATGTGGAAGTATTTTAGACTTTTATAAAATCTTAGAGAGTAATCATTTCTGGCAGTATTGTGAACCTTGAAAAACTGTCTCAATAAGAATAATAAAATAATGTAAGCCATTAATTGTAAATATAGCTGACCATAAATATATCTAAGTTGATATATCTAATATATAACCATAAATACATCTAAGTTGAGGAAATTAGTAAAATTCTGAGAGGCAAAATAAATAAATAAAAATAAGAATCCAGAGAGGGAAGTGAGTTCTGACCCCACATACGTACCCATGGTGTCTTTGAGTTTCAATTCTGGTGGTCGAAACTGAAAGCTACAGATGACAGAAGACAAAGAATGGATTCTGTCCAAAGGTGAATGTCTAATAGGAAGCCTCTGCATAAATCTGTCTACATTCTTACTAAGAAGGTGAGTTAGAAAAAAAAAAAAAAAAAAAAAAAGTACCCCCATGAGAGTCAGCAGGACATTTTAGTTGAGATTTTATAACAAGAAATAATTAAGTATGTCTGCAGACTAAATTCAAACAATAAGTTTTCCTACAAACCTCAAAGAGATGATTTATTTTAAATATGGTAGTGATGCCAAGCAACTGGCAGAGGAAAACACACATTCTCCCTGTAGGAGTACAACTTACATGTCTCATGACAGATTTCCCCTAAATGAGTTCACAACCAAAAATCACTAAAAACCAAGAAATAAGCCATTTAAGCATGAATTGACAGAAATAACAGGGAGCAAATTTGGCTCCTAAGAGAATCAGAAAATGAGTACACAGGGTGTACATAACTCTCATCCTTTCTCATAAGGCTTCAAGCTATGCTTTCTGAATATAATGCTTTCACTAAGTCTTCATTGATCTTGAAAAGCAAAAATAGCAGAAATTACATTATTTAGCAGATTTACCTCCTGGAGGATCTGGAGGTGTCCACACTCACTGAGCCTTAGCTGCTGTTTTGTTTGCCTTAGAGACAGAATTTAGAACACTAGGCAAATTCTGCTGTGGACTAGGGAGAGACAGCTCCAAATTTTCCATAGAGATTGGCATCTTATATTTCCCAGAAATGTCCCAAGTGAAATTAAGATGAAAGCCCTGAATAAGATAGGTCTCAGATCCATGACTTAGAGATTGCCAAGAAATCTTTAATTTTCTAATATATTTTCTAATCAGAGCCAAAACTGTAATGAGTGGTCTGACTCAGAAGAGAGTAGGAGCAGTAAGTGGAATATAGGTTTTCTTAATGAATAAATTCTTCAAAAGAATAGATACCTGTCTTATATTAATATTTAGATTTAAATTATTTAGAAAGTGGTCCCTTTCCCTTTAAATGCAAGATGCAGATAAACTATTAGCATGTTTGCAATGTGATTAACCAACATTTTGGTTGTTTGTGTACAAAATTTTGGGACCAAAATTATGAAAATGTATTATTAGGGGGGAACCTTTAATTCGTAAAAACTACCAGTTAATACAGGCAACACAACTGGAAGGTCACTCAAAAAATTTTTTTTCTTCTCTCAGATATAGGATAAAAACAATTTAGCTCATGAGACATCTGAGGGGCTTAATGAGCTACTTTGTGTTAGTGCTTGATACCTAATAGCAGTTCAACAGAACCCTCATTTTAGTGTTATTTTGAGTAGATTTCATTACATATTCCCAAGACAGTATCTCACCTTTTTAAAACATGTTTTGTGTGATTTTTTAATCCAAAATAAATACCATTTCTGATACTCTGATAAGTATAGGGCAATAAAGAACCCCATAGCCTCATAATCCTCGTATCTATGTCAGAATTATCTAGATGAAAGAACACTACAGACGAGTTCTTGTTCTACTATTACTGTGGACAAGTTCACATATGTTCCCTGAGTCTTTGTCTATAAAAGTCTTTACTTGTCTATAAAATAAGGTTTATAGAAAGATTCAAATGAAATAATAGATGTGAAAAGTACTTTGTAAAATATAACACTTATTAGTAACAAAATTTCCTCAAAAGATAATCTCATCTATACATCATGCTTTGCACAGTAAAAGAAGAAAATAATAATTATCTGTTGAAAGGAAGAGAGAAGAACTAAATGAAGCATAAGAGGGGTAAGGGAAGAAGGAAGACCATAATAGAGAGTCATTCAAGTTTCTTTTTTGATGTTTATATTTTAATCTATCTCTCCATTATTCTGCCATCAATGTCTCCCTTTCCTTTTCTTCTTATTTTTACCTCCTCAGTTCCTAAATACATACAGAGAATTCTCAAACAGCTTGGAAAGGAAGATTGTTGGGAAAGGGATACATTAGCATCTATAGTGAGAGTATTTTAGATTTAGAAAGATATTAAATTGACAATGGTAGGATAATGCTGTTGGGGAGGAAAATTTTTATTTTACCCTTTAAGCTTCTTCTGGCTGGTCTAACAATTAAATTTACATCAAACATTAACAAAAGAAAATCAAATTTAATAATGTACATACAGGGGATCCACATACACAGAGATTCCAAAAACAGGTAAGATGAGGTATGTATATTATTCTGGACTCAGGAATAGGGGTAGGAGTCTGGGGCTTCAAAATGAAGGAATGAAATTCACGGAAAGAATGTAAGGAATAACTGTTGGGTAAACAAATGTTTGCTGGGCCATCCAGAAACAATGGGACATAGTGAGGACCTTGGTCAAAATGGGCCTTGCTAGGTTCCTCCCTGTCTACCATAACTAGTTCACATTATACTATAGTTATCCCTGGTGATAGCTCCCCGCCTGGAATAGGTCCTCTCTCTAAATTCTTTCAAGCAATTAGAAAGGAGGCCAAAAAGAAAAACTTAGTTTTCTGTTTTTTTTTTTAAATTAGCCTAAAATAATTCCAATGCCAAAGAGACACATTTTATTTTTTTTTCTGATTCTTTTTTTTTATATATGAAATTTATTGTCAAATTGGTTTCC